TTGTAAATCCGGGCGAAGGGGCTATTCCCGTACGAGCGAGAATTCTCGCCTCTCAGGTATCTGTCCGCTCGCTCTGGGTCGAGTTGACTTGGCGCTTGAATGCGTCCCACTTGTGGGCGAAGCAGCACTATCTCGTGCGGGCGCAAAGCCCACGTAGCCCACGCCACACGCGTACTGATAACTTGAGGGCTCGCACTTATCCTCAGAATCCCACGCCAGATCGCTAGGAGCCGTAGGAGCACGCAAGGTTGGTTGCACTCAACCCCACAACCTCCCGGATATGAGTGGGTTGGTGGTTGGAGAGAGACCCAGGAACCTGATGCAGATATCAGCGGGCGGCGGATTAAATGATCATCCTGACGATGTCTCTGAGAAGTGTGCCAGTTCCTGGAAGAAGGGTCTCGGCGAGGTCGAAGCAAGCTGCGTGATTGGCTGTGTGCATAAAGAGATGGCTTATCTGAAGGGTGCCGCTACGTTGAAACCAAGCTAATAGGAGTCATGGGGTTCTTGTCTCTCTGCTATTGCCAGAGACATCAATTTCGTGATCGCAATGGCTGTTGCTATTTGGATCAGCGCTTTAATCAGATAGCCGCGGCAGCCTTGTCGAAAGAGCGGCCGGCACTCGAAGGACGATCACGGCGACAATCGCAAAGATGGCGGGATGGATCGTCTTGTTCGTCGGCCTTGATTGGCTTTCGGCGTTGAAGGTTGTGGTGAACGGCCCAAAGCTTCACCTCTCCCACTGGTTTGTTAGGTAACTGTAGATCCAGTCGCTCCGCAATGGAAGCCTCGTGAGTTTCCCGAGGTGGTTGCTTCGACAGCCGCAGGCGCTCCTACGTTAAGACGTCAGTCCCCCCAAAGTGACGAAGGCGACGAACTCTTCTGATCCATAGGGGATCCAGCTCCAGGGTTAGGTCCTGCAACAATCCGTGATGCAGAAGCTGCATGAAGGGCCGCAGAATGCATGTTTGGGCGAAGGCGTCAGTACGGGTGGTCAGGTGGGCAACCTGGACGGCCTACTATGCCATCGGTCGACTCGGGAGGTAGGTATGGTGTTAGTGTGGGGAGGCATGTTGTGACGCTGATTTGTTCAACGTTGTGAGCCTGTTTCTCCTCCCCCGCCTCAAAACGTATGCGGGTGGTGGCCGAACCGGTTTAGCCGCTCTTGGCCCGCAGCAAATTCCAACTGCATGGATGGACGACCACTGAGGGCCTCAACGGAGATATCAACGGCGAATAGCGGCTGCAGACGATAGGAGCTTTTGGAGAGACAGTTGATGTGACGAACTTTCTCCTTATGTCACCGTTCTTGAGTCTCCACGGGTCCGTCGTCACGGATAGTGTCATAGTGCACCCAGCAGAATCGTGACACTGTAGCCTCCAGACGTGTGAAATCTGCGAGACTACTCCTGCCGTGCCGTTGGCCTAGGGTGGAGACATCGGGTTGTTGAAGCACAAGATCTCCGATACCCTTGACGGACTGGCTCCATAGTTATTGCTTGAGGAAGAGGAGTGCATCATGGGGGCGTACTCGGACTTTTGCGAGAGATTGGAATCGCTCCCAAGCTGCACTAGTTTTAGTTCCTAGGTCCGCATGAGCTAGGAAGACAACATGTTTCGCAGTGTCTGTAACGTAGACGAATGGGCCAGGAAAACAGACGATGATGACAGTGGGCAGACCAGCCGATCGAGGGTGACATGGCTTCGGGGTGTTGTGATGCCACAGTATCAATTCGTATTTGAAGGGAGTTTGAGCGAGACTCCATGGGCGGACTTGCAGTGGTCCGTCGCGAGTTAACGTTTAGCTGTCATGCCAGGTTGACCTGGGTTTAGGCGGTCATGAGGATTGTGTCGAAACTCTCGAAACCAGGACACAGCCTTCTTGACGAAGACAGCCGACGACGGGAATCTCGCAATGCTTCTAGGACACGACGAAATCTCAATTGCGTGCTGGGATGGACGGATAGCGATGGTCAACCCCAGGTTTTTGCTCTGACGCCACCCCACGACAGGATGGTGTTGATATTGGCGTTGGATCTGCACAATTTGGCTGGCAGCCAATGATGAGCCCGACGGCTTTTACCTGGTCTCTGACCCTCCCCTACCCTCGCGGCCTCATCCACCTCCTGCAGCAGGGTCGATCAGTTGCCGTTGTCGTTACGTGGTTGTGGTGGGCTAGAAGAGGGGAGTCGTCTTGAGACAGAAGCGGCGACACGAAAAGAGGCCGCTGCAGAAGCAGAGACACACGAAAACGTCAAGGTGCTTGGTTGGTTGGTTGCACCAGCATCCATCAGTTGTCTGAATTGTGAAGGGACCAGTCGTGTGTGTTTGCCTTCTCCACTGGCTACCGCCATCGTAGTATTCAATGGCAGTCTGTCTTGGCCCGGCGTGTGTGGTGTTGCCGTCGCCGTTGGCCTCTCTTCACTGCCGCTCTGCCGCTCAAGGAAAATTCTCCAGTCTTTACAGAGTCACAGAGTAAAGTGGGCCATGGAGAAGGGGACGGCCGCTGTCGCTATTTTTGCGGATACCAACCCCCCACGCGGCTCCATGCCTCATATCATTCGACAAAGGACTGATTTGATTTCTCATGATCTTGGGCTGACACCCGTTGTGTCCATGTGTTTTTGGAGAACACCATAATACCAGCGACAACGAGAATTGCGAGGAAGCTGATGGTGACGGACACGGGGGATGTAGGGATTCGAAGAATGTTGGGAACCAATGGGGAGATTGAGGTTGAAGAGTTTTTTCTTTCTTTCTTCGTTCATCTCCTTGCTTCGAGTCCGGGCTCACCCAGGCGAGGAGGGAACATGCGCGATCTAGACTGGTCCAGCCAGCCCCCGAGGCGTACTGCTTGTGTACAGTGGCGTTGAACGGGATCGAGCTCTGGGGTGCTCAGCTGTCAGGCCGGGTTTGAAAGTAGTGGTTCAGTCGCAAACGCACTTCTGATTAATCACTCAATTCAACATATCCTTCTCTTGGGTCGTCCGAGGGTGGCCAGAATCCCATGCAGGGCACAGAGTACGAATACTAGCGATGCTGGTGCTCGTGGTGGTGTGCTGTTTTGCTGCTGCTGCTACCAATGTCTCTGGTGGCAGCAAGCAACACAGGAGGAAGAGAGACGACAGTGCAGCTTTGGATCTGACCAAACACCTGACTGCTCCTTGAGAGAGGCCGGGGTCGAGCTATGCTAGCATCAATTGGGAGGGTGTGGGTGTCGATCATGGGTTTGAAAGGAAAAGACGGAGAAAGTGGACCAGTTTCCTTGGGAGTTGGGAGTCGCGATAGCACCAGGGGCGTGAGGGAATGACCGGAGACGAGAGCTTGGGCCAATGGCACCCGCATCCACTAGACCGAAACAATGCTAGCGCACACAGGACTCTTGATATCCACCCGGCTCGTTCTCACTGGCTCAGAACGAGCAGCTTCGGTTCAGCGTCTGCAGCAGCCATCTGTACTCATGCCTGAGGTAGTCGTCGATTGCACAATCCGCTGCATCACTGTCATAAGCGGGCAGACCTGTGCCTGGCGATGCCGCAATACAAGCGAAAGAGGTACAGATATTGGCTGCCTTCTTCCTGCTGCCCACGCCATTTGCATCCACTCTGAGCTGATGCCCACTCAGCTGGAGAACGCAGTATCCGTAGGCACCTTGGACTGCGTTGGGTGCTGCCTTATGCAGCTCTCGGATGTCCACACGCCCCCTGGCGTCATCGTCGACAGTTGGCTCTCTCTGGCTGGCCTGCCTTGGGACCGTCGCATCCTCAGGAAGTTAGCAGATAACGCAAGAGCAGCAGCAGAGCGGACAAGACCAAGTATCTTTGCAGCCCAGTTTCACCTAGCAAGTACGAAGTGGTACTCCGTCCCACTGCTGCCCCCGCTTTATCTGCACTTTCCAATTCTTCACAACTCTTTGCTGATGAATTATGTTTCTGCACCCCCTCTCTCCATCCAGCCACCCACACACCTCGCTCATGCCCTCAAACTCTGAGCAGTGAGCACAATTGTCGCCTTTGACGCAGAAAATTTTCAGAGGAAATCATCACACGCCCAAGTCTGCTGGATGGTCCCCTGCTCCTTCTTCCCCTGCCCTCCCGAAGATGGGTACGTACACTTTTTCCTTCCCTCGTCCCCTTCCCTAACAAATCTCTCTCTCTATGACTCTGTAACTCTGTGACTCTCTCTCGCTCCCTCCCCCCCCCCAATTTGCCAATCTCGTCCATCTCGCTCTCCCCTCCTCTCTCTACCACCCACCACCCCCTCTTTCCCTCACTCCTCACTCCCGCTTGACCTTGCTCTCCCACCCTCCCCTCCCACACCCCTCTCTCTCTTACCCAGACACCCCCTTCTCCCCTCCAGTGGGCGCTATCTGCTGCAGGGCATGAGAACTGGAAGTGGGGTCCTGGCTCAGCCCATCAGATTGCCAATGCCATCCTTGCTGTCTCTCTGCCCTCCATCTCCATCTTGCCATCTCCACCCCGGACCTGCACACTAGCGGCCACTTCCTGCCCTTGTGCTTGTGTGTGCATGTTTGTGTGGTGGGTAGGCGTCTTGTCGCTCTCTTCATCCACTTCCAAGTATCTTTGCACCCACCCACCACAGCATAGGTACTTTGTATGCACCATAGGCCTTGCCTTGGGCGTGCTCCTCCACTGGTGGGCAGGCTGTGCTTCGAGGATAGATACATATGAGCCGACCTCTTTCCACACCTCGATCCACCTCTCGTTCTCTCATCATTCGACTTCACTCATCTTCTCCTCCGGCATTTGTTCGTGGCTCACTCTCTTGCTTGTGGCTTCCAGTTCTGTTCATATATCGACTGCAATCCCGTCCAACTCTTTAAACACCTGCCACCACCCACACTCATCATCACAACTTGCCTAAGCACAAACACCAACTACCACCTTCAGTCCACCACTTGAACACTAGTCGACTCGACTCGGTTCTGCTCAACACACAACGCCAAACTCAAACAACTACACACCGCAAATCCAGACGCAATGGCCGCCTTCGACCTCTGGACTCACGAGTTCTGCCTCGGCTGCGACAAGCAGACCGATGGTACTGCCTACTGCTCCGAATCCTGCCGCCTCGCCGACTTCGAGAAGACATCTTCACCCAGCTCAGTTGCCAGCTCGCCCGGCTTGAACACCCCTTCCTACCATTGGACTTCTTCAAGGCAACAGTCCAACAACTTTTACCTCTCGCCCGCCTACGACTTCACCAACGCTCAACCCTACGGCAGCACCCCCTCCAGACAATCCTACCTCTCGTCTTCGAGGGCACCCATCACCACTCGCCGCATCCTGACCACTTCGAGCTCCAACTCCAGCCTGTGCTCGATGCAGAGCACAACATCATCCAACACCGATGGCAGCCAGCTTTCAGAGAAGGCCAAGAGGGAGCTCCAAGCCTACGCCGTGTCTTTTGATCAAGCGAGACTCCAGCGTCGGCGATCCGCCTAAATCGAACACGACCTCTTCATCTACACACTGTTCAATATACCCTTAGCCACAGCACAAGTGGCATCGTTTCCTTTTTCCAGCACAGCACGCAACTCAGTTTACTCGATACACCATCGGCACACCGACTCTTTTCTCTTTTCTTTGGGTTCGACTTTGTTGTAACAAAACGGGCATTACATCGGAGTACTGCATTATAAAAAAAAGTTTGGGTCAACTACGGGGAGTACTTGGCTTGGCAGGACATCTGCATCAATCACATCAGGGCGCAACAATGGGGAACACTGGGATTGTACCACGACATTGGGGGCTTGTAACCAAGGGTTGTTTACAAGTATGGCACTGAGAGATTGAGTATCTCGCCTTTGGCTTCATTACACCTCGCCACGGAATGGACGAGAGGTAGCTTGTCACGAGAGCGGAAGGGCTCATATCACGACAAAGATTGGGAAAAGACCCTGGCATTGGACGAAGCCTCGAGGCAAAATGACCTCTGATGGCAGCTTGGACTGGTATAAACATAAGGCATTATCAAAGTGACGGATCAACTGGGTAGCGGAGATTCCAGAGGAATGGACTAGCACCGCCAGATTGAGATGGACCAAAAATATAAGACCAGTTCAAAGCTTGACAAGAATTTTTTCCACTTGCTACTACCTACATGTGTGACTCTGATGACTGCAATCAACGATGACTCTAACTCTGTCCATGCCAGCACAATCCGCATCCACTTCTGGAGCCTTCGCGACGGAGCTGTGGGTCTGCGGGAAAAGTCGTCATAGTGCCGGAAAGTTCAGAATTCCCCCATTACGCTTTGAGAGCCCCTGGCCCAGGTGCAATGGAGTTTGGTCCGAAGGGAGCAAAAGTTGGTGAAATTTTTGGCCAGGATCCCACGCCAAGATTATTTTTGTTCGCTCGGAAGTTGCCAAACATACCACAGACTGGGAAGGGACGGTGAACGGGGGTCGGACACGGCGCACAATTTGGGAACACAACTAAGGTAACAATTAATGGAGAACATTGGCACGTTGGGTAGGGGAGTTGGTTAGTTGGTTGGTGGGCGTCTGATTGACGAATGCATTTTCTTTTTTTTCTTCCCTTTGTTTTTTTTTTCTGTCATGTCATTGCAGACTTTTAACAACGGCTCAATTGCCCACGTTGACAACGTGCAGCTCAGGGCCCTCCAACAGGCCCAAGGATAGGCAGACAGGCAAGCCGCAAAAAGGACAGAAATTGGAGAAGCAGGATACGGATTGCCGTACACGTGTTTCCCATGGCTTATCATTTTCTTGAGTCTTGACAGTGGAAGAGGCGAATGGCGAATCAGCGAGAAAGTGAGAGATGATGGAACTGGCAAATGCATGGTACGATTGGAAAAGGCAGTGCGTGCCATCAATGTCGGGCACAACGCATTGCACTTTCCCATGCCGCCTGTTTTAATGGGGATTTCCAAAGTCTTACGGGATACCTTGCTTTCCCGTCTACACAGTGACTACACAAGGTAAGGTAAGGTACCTTGTATTTCTTTTCTTGTCCATCCATCGCCTTGTTCTTTTCTTCCTCCCCCGTGCCTCCTTCCTGCCTCATGGAGTAAGTATGTAAGTACCTTTGTACAGCTGCATTGAGGTAAGGGAGGGAAGGTATCTTCCAGGTTGAGGTCAAACAGGCACTAAACATCAAGCCAGCGTACTCTGTAGCCATCTTAGTCATCGAGCCACTGCGTACGACGGGGGAGGATGAAACCTGGCTACCTACCTACCCTATGAGTCTATGTACCTATGTATCCGTACGTGCCTAAGGTACCTTACCTTATGCCCATGGACGGCTTCAACGACACACATCCAAATCATTGCTCGCACCTGCGCAAGCACGCAAAACATAATAATGCATGGCTGCTGTCCCACGGTGGAGGTCATCTCGATGGCGCACAGTTCGCAATCTCGCACCAAGATTGAGCAAGCGAGAAAGATGAGATGCTTTCAGCAAGTCACCGTCGCCACGACGTCTTTCTCGTCTCTCGTCTCTCGCTCTCCGACCGGAGTGGCCCATGTCCCCGAGCACCGCAGTCGCAAACCCGCAGCCCAGGGCACCACCTCTCACCAGCAGCTATGCCCGATGTCAAATTCCAAAAAGGGCGAATACGCACCTGCCCCCCCCCCCCCCCCCCCCCCCCCCCCCTCCCCCCCCCCCCACCCCACCCCCCGCCCCCCCCCCCCCCCCCCCCCACCCCCACCCCCCCCCCCCCCCGCCCCCCTATTCAAAACCCAAAAAGGGGCAAACCCCCCCCCCCCCCCCCCCCCCCCCCTGACAGGACGATTCCCCGCCAAACACACGCACACGCCTGCTCATCCATACACCACGGCGGCATCCATCGTCAATTCAGAAAATTTTGTCCATTGCGGACAACAGGGGACCCGTAAATAACGACAATGCCGCCCACATGACCGCCATGACGTGAGCCGCGCGAGAAAACATGCCATCCATCTGCCCCGTCGTCCTCTGACGCAGCTCGAACCGAAATGGATTATGGAGGCGGCTTTCGAAGCCGAACCCTCTTTTCTCACTCAGATCCTCGATCCACAAGAAAAGGGAGGGGACTCAGGAGGAGACGTATCTGACAGGAAGACCCCCGCCAAGTTGCGAGAGCCTCTTTTTCATGTGCGATGGAATCTCGGTTGTAGCCGCAACCTGACCACGTCCAATAGACGACTACCACCCACCCCTCCGCGCGTGTTACGGTACAGGGCGCTTCGGATACGGACAGGAGAGTGAGAACAGCTACGAAGCTATCTTTTAGCCCAGGGGGCGGCGAGCAAGAAGTGAAAGAAATGGCATTGTGGCACTGGGCAGCCTTTCAAATTGGCTGTTTGCTACCGCCGCTCAGACCAACGATGTGCACATCATCTACGGAGTACAGCTGCTCCTCATCTCGGAGCTGGCTTGCTTATTGCCATGGCCCTCTCGGTCTCCATCAATGCCGCCCCCGATATTCGGAGCCCTCAAGGAAATCTTTTTTCCAGAACCGAGGGGCCTGTCTGGCTTGAGGACTGGACTCAGTGGGCTGGACTGGACTGCATCTGGGCCCTGAACCTGGGCCGAATCCGTGGGGTGTCGAGGGCGGCCCGAACGCTAACCACGACACTCACTCCGTGACTCCTCAATCCGTTCAGTCGTGCATTTCCAGTCTTTCACTCAACAGTCGACACCCACCAGCAGCAGTTGAGGCAGCCGCTATTGGCAAGCGCCGATGGGAGAGAAAGGGCAAGGATGGGGACGGGACGTGAGAGTGCGGCCCAGCCCAATCCAAATTGCGACCAGCTCTAACATCCTCGAGCAAGGGTGTGGCGGCCCAGTGGAAGCGATAGTGCTATTATGGAACCCTCCAGCACCAGAGGCGCTCTGCTGAGAACAGCCTACAGGTGGGAGAGTCTGGAGACAGGGCGGCTTGCTCAGGCGTCTCGCCAGCTGTAAGTGGCCAGGACAGGGCTTCAATTCGACATGGGAATTTCCAACAGACGAGGCGTCCGCCTCTCAGTGCTCGCCTGAAGGTGTGCTTCATCACTCAGAAAGGCCTGCGTCCTGCTTGCTGTAGAGTGCAGAGCAAGGAGCACCTTTGTTCAAGTCGATTCTGCACAACGCCTCAGCTTCAGCCCCCGGACATTATCCAGGCAATCCGACCTGTCACTGCCTTAATCGATGCCTGCCAGCCGTTTCTGTCTCTTTGCAGACTGTGTGTGTGACAGACAAGCTCCGTCAGCGCCGAGCCACTTACAGTTGCCTCAGTTCGCCTTCAGTTCGCCTCTGCCTACTCACATTAGGTGGCCTTGACGAATTGGAATAGCCAAATAACCCGATAGGAAGATAATGCCTCACGATCATGATCCCCAAGAAGCAGGCTTGAGGGCCGCAAGTGTGCCTTTGCCTTTCATCTGCAGCTTACGCCTTTCCTTCCGTCTCTGAAGCAGCAGCAATAATTTGCACCACAGCCAACTGGACGACGACTTCCACTTTAGACATGGTGCATTGTGACGGTGTTGGCAGCATTTGATACGACCAGTCTGTTATGCCTCCATCTCCCCCTCTCCGGGTTTGTTGGGGGAGTGGCTACAGAGACTCATTCCTTCAACGATCTTACAACTCGTCAAACCAGCCGTTCTGCGTTTTGACGCCCCCTTTCCCTGGCGGCCTGGCCCTCGCTTTACGGTACTTTAGGCTTGGGACAGAGGTGAAAATTTTCACAGCATGGATCAGCCTCTGAATCTTCTTTTCTCTCCGTCTCCCTTCGGAAAGGGCAACGCAACGGATCGATCGATCCATGGTGTCTGGTCTCTGTGCGCCTGGCCACGGCCTAGGTACTCCGTACTCAGGTTCTTGCTCGTTATGCCCGCTCTGCGCCCTAGTTGCCTTTACTACCCGTTCTGTTTTACATTGAACGGTGAGTCGTTCCGGAGACATGTATCAAGGGACAATAACAACAAACAGAACAAAACAAAGTTTGACTTCGTTGTACGCTGAGCGGTCTTCGTCTATACTCCCCGTGATAACTGGGTGTCCATATCCGAGGCGGGTTTCGTCGGCTCGCTTCATTTGTGCTGCAATGCTTTAGTACCTCTGAGCGCCAACGGTATTCAAGAGCAGCCCGGGAGTCTCCAGTCGAACCACCATGGCACCTCAAAGCGGGTGTTGTGCCGTTGCACCGCCTGCATTTCAAGCCACCGCATCGCTTTCTGTTTTACACCCCAGACACATCCTCTTCTGCACAGCGAGTACACGCACTTGAACAAGTATCACGGTGATCAACCTTCGCCAGTCGAGCAGTCTCTATTGAACAAACCCGTTTTACCCGCTGTAGTATGAGCACTAGACATATTTTGCCGTCCAACCACACAACCAGGTGCTGCGGTAACAGTACTCTCTTGCAACGAGGCAGGGGCCGTCTCACCCGCATATCTCACAAGTGGTCGGTCATGTTATGTAATTTCTGATTGAATGAGAGCATGGAG